GAGCCTCTCCTTGGGGATTTGAAATAGACCCTGCTCTTGTGATGCTGGCCTGGGTGGAGCCCAGCTCTGCCTTTCCCCTAGAGTTCCTGAGGTTGGAGGAGTGGAGGGAGCCAGCCAAGCTGAAATACTTGCTCTGCATGTGGGAGCACACACACCTGGGGCTATCTGGTGTCCCCTTGGGACTGGAGGGAGATGAGCGGTGTCTGTCCAGTGTTAGAGACTGGATGATCCTTCCCACCTGCAGTGCATGCTAGCTGGGGACTTGAATCTGGCCTGTCTACACTTTGAGCCCCTTCCCTACTCCCATTTCTCCTGATATTCTCAGGGTCATCTCAGAAGACTCCCCTAAGAAACATGTTGCTTGGGGGCAGTGACTGGGCCTGGGGTACCAGGCATCAGAAGCTACCTCCCTTTGCTGCCCGCAGATCTCCCTGTCCAGTCGTCTGCAGCTGACCCTGTACCAGTACAAGACGTGTCCTTTCTGCAGCAAGGTCCGGGCATTCCTGGACTTTCATGCGCTACCCTACCAGGTGGTGGAGGTGAACCCCGTGCGCAGGGCTGAGATCAAATTCTCCTCCTACAGGAAGGTGCCCATCCTGATGGTCCAGGAAGGAGAAAACTTGGTGAGCCTTGGGGGAATCATCTTCCCTCCTGTCCTGGGTTGTTGTCTGGGAGTGTCCCCAAGCCTAGCCCTGCTCTGTTGCCCTGGAAGTCATTTGTGGTGTCTAGGCCTCTGCTGAGGGTTCTGAGAGGAAAGTAGCTGGTTACGGCAGGTGGCCACCAGATGCAGGTGCCCTCCCCACCAGCGCCAGTGCCAGTGCCAGCTGGGCTGAGGAAGGCTGCATCACAGAGTCCAACAACTTGGGTTCTGAAGTCAGGGTGGTCTGGGTTCAAGGTCTGACTCAATCACCCACTGGCTTTTTGACTTGGGGCCAGTCACTTAGCCCCTCTGGGCTTTGTTCTTCATAGTAAACATTAGTCAACACAATATGTTGCAGAGACAGCAGATACGAGATGCCTGGTACAGTGCTTTGTACCTAATATGTCGCACCTGGAGCCACCTGCCCCTTAGTGCGTGGGATGCCAGATGGCTGAGATGGCTGGGGCCTCAACCCCAGAGCTTCCCTGTGTCTTCCCCCCTGTTAGCCACCCTGGGGTCTCCTTTGTTCATGCAGTGGTATTAGGGGCATGCCCTAAGGGATGGACAAACAGCACTCAGGCTACAGTGAGCAGCTGCCTCCAAATGCCTGGGATTTCCTGCCTCTGACCTAAACCAACCTCTGTTTTTCTAGCAACAACTGAATGATTCCTCCATCATCATTAGTGCCCTCAAGACTTACCTGGTATCAGGGTAAGGAGCACCTGGAGACAGAGGCAGCAATCTGTTTGGTCCTTCCTGCCTCCCTGGAACCTTCGTCTTAGGTTCTACTTGGGCACAGGGTGGAGCTGCTGCTTAGATTTCCAGAATGGGTCACTGACATCCTACTCTGAGACCCCCTACTTCCTTGCTTTCCCTCATCTCCCTCCATCATGGAAGTGCTACTGGTGTCTACCCCAAATCCCTCTTGCTGCAAGAGGGTGGAGAACCTCCGTGGGTCAGGGTGGGTTGATCAGGAAGAGGAGGAAGTTGTGGTGAGACTCCTGTTCTCTCCTGAAGGCAGCCCCTGGAAGAGATCATCACCTACTACCCACCCATGAAGACTGTGAATGACCAGGGCAAAGAAGTGACTGAGTTCTGCAATAAGTACTGGCTCATGCTAGATGAGAAGGAGGCCCAGCAAATGTATGGTGGAAAAGAGGCAAGGACGTGAGTGGGGCTGGGGCCCGTGGGGCCAGGGTCTGCCCCAGAGGGAGATGAGCCACTGTGAGTGGGGGGCCGTGTGAAAGACCAAGGCATGGCTGGATTGAGTGTCAGTAAAGTCCTTACTACCCAGGCTTCGGCCTCCTGCCTGCACAGTAGGTACGTTCTAGGGAAGGCACTTGCTCCCAGCCCCTCCCAGGCCCTCTCTCTGTCCTTCCTGTGTGCAGGGAGGAGATGAAGTGGCGGCAGTGGGCGGACGACTGGCTGGTGCACCTCATCTCCCCCAATGTGTACCGCACGCCTGCTGAGGCCCTGGCCTCCTTTGACTACATCGTCCGCGAGGGCAAGTTCGGGGCTGTGGAAGGCGCTGTGGCTAAGTACATGGGCGCAGCTGCCATGTACCTCATCAGCAAGCGGCTGAAGAGCAGGTGATGGTGCGCTTGCGTGAGTGTGTCTCTGTGTGTGACTGCATCTTGCTGGCCCAAGCGCCTGGCATGACGAGCTGTGCTGACCCCATCTAACCCCTCAAGAGCTTGGTGAGAGACCGAGGCCCAAAGAAGACTAGAAAAATTCTTAACGGCTAACAGCCAAGGCAGGGCCTGTACCTGGAGCCCCTGATTGCCTCCTGACCCAGGGGCAGTGAGGCTGGGCCCTAACCTGTGCCCGTTCTGCTTCTCTTTCCTTGCTCAGGGCTCTTTTCAGCCTAGCTCACAGCAACCTCAAACTCTTGGGCTCACGTAATCCTCTTGCCTCAGCCAATAGGCTAGACTACAGGCACTGGCCACAACACCCAGCTAGTTTTTCTATTTTTAGTAGAGATGAGTCTCACTGTTGCTCAGGCTGGTCTCAAGCTCCTGAACTCAAGCAGTCCTCCCTCCCTCCTTGGCCTCCAGAGTGCTAGGATTATAGGCACAAGCCACCATGCCCAACCAATGGTCAGGGCTCTTATCCTTCCTGAACAATCTTCCCTTCTGGGGCAGCATCTCACTGACGCCTCTGTGGCTGTGACACCCTCACCAGGGAAGCCTCCCTGGCCACCAGTCCTTCCTCCTCTCCCCAGAGGGGTTGCCACTTCCTCCTGGGCTGGGGTAGGCGTTGCCCTGATGGACTTTCCCCCACTCCTGCCCCAGGCACCACCTCAGGGACGATGTGCGTGAGGACCTCTACGAGGCTGCTGACAAGTGGGTGGCAGCTGTGGGCAAAGACAGGCCCTTCATGGGGGGCCAGAAACCAAATCTCGCTGACCTGGTGAGTGTGCTGGTGGTGGGCAGTGCCCAGACTGAGGGACCTGTCCCGAGGGGTTTGTGTGGAAGCTCCCAGGCAATGCCTGCATCTTGCCAGAGGATCTGCTGCCGTCTTGTTGGTGCAGAAACCCAACTCAGAGTGGCTCAAGGGAAAGAATAGCTGCAGAAGTTGTCTTTGCTCTTAACTGACATGTTGAGGGAAAGCATTGGCTTCAGGCCTGGCTGGATCCCAAGGCCTGGGTGGCATTACCAGGACCCAGGGGCTCACTGTCACCATGTCAGTCCTGCTTTTCTCAGAGTTGGCTCAGCCTCGGGCAGACATGGCTGACTCTAGTCCTGGGACAGCATCTCATTGGTCCAGCTTCCTTTCCCATCCTTGAAGCCATCCTGCAGGTGGTGACCTTCATCGTGGAACTGAGTGGTGGGGTCTCTTCTCCCCAGTTTCAGAACATGAGTTGTGGAGGACTTTTTACCCAAGGAAAGGCAGGCAAAACCCATAGCTTCCGCACACGCTTCTTTCTTTTTTTTTTTTTTTTTTTTTTTGAGACGGAGCCTCAAGCTGTCCCCC